AGCTGGGTTCCCTGTCCGCATGATCTCTCCTGAATGCTGGGGAAGGGTGGCTTCTTGGGGTGAATGGAGCTTTAGCAGGATCTGGAAAGGAGGTAGACTTTCGAGGGCCTCGCAGGAAAACAGAGGTCGACTCAAGTGGGCAGAGCAGCATCTCCACGGGGCCAGAAAAGTGAGGCTGTGGTTGTTTATTCCCGGCTCCCTGTGTTCGGATGCTGTGTGTCATTTTAGCTGACATCCCTGGAGTGGATGGACCCATCCCCATCTTATGGATAAGGACCCAGGGCTTATACATGGGCTCCTAATGCACCTTTACCATGCGGTGGGGGAGGGAGTTACACCTGGACCTACTTGTCTCCGGAGCCCGAGCGCCTAGCTCCCATGGGTGAGGCGGGAGGCCACTGTGCCCAGTGGGGGTCTGCACTATAGGGAGTAGGGTGAAGAAGTTATGGCCCTCATAGCATAGAACAGGCGATGCTGGGGCCCAGGGTGTGTTCAGTCGACTACCTGCTGAGTCGGGTGAAACTGCAGCTGGATCCCGGACCTGTTGGCTTCCAGCTCTGGGTCCTCCTGCCCAGTCTCTCTGCCCCCAGCCTTGTGCCTCCTTTCTGAAGCACTCATCTCAGGAGGTGGGGTCTGAGAAGGAGGAGGAGGTTGTTACTAATTGTCCCCGTGTCCACAGTGGCCTGGTTGGACGCTTGCCATGATAACGGGACACTGGGCTTTCTGTGCTAAGGGTCTAAACGTAGCTCTTTGCCTCTGTGAGTTTCCCCTGAGTCATTGAAAGAGGTGAACTTCAGGAAGCTGGGCCAGCCCCTTTTGTTTCTCCTGTGACTGGTCTTCAGCTCGCATCTGCCAGGCACCTTTTAGTCTGAGGATGTGCTTCCCCTCTGCCTTTTTTACACCTTATGACACACATGCTTATACACAAGTTTTATGTTTTCATGCATCAAAGGCAAGGAATTGCAAACTCTGAGGACCTTCATAATCACTACATTCAATCTGGACATACAGGGGAAACTTTCTCCCTTTTCTCAAAATATAGACCAGTTTTCTGTTGTTGTTTTGTGTGTGTTTATTTTTCAAGACAGGGTGTCACTCCAGTAGCCCAGGCTGGAGTGCAGCAGCGCGATCACAGCTCAATGCAGGTCTCACTGTATTGTCCAGACTTGACTTCCCAGGCTCAGGAGATTCTCCCACCTCAGCCTCCCAAGTAGCTGGAACTACAGGCATCTATGACTATGCCTGGCTAGTTTTTAAAAATATTTTTAGTAGAGACAGAGTCTTGCCATGTTGCCCAGGCTGGTCTCAAACCCCTGGGCTCTAGTGATCTACCTGCCTTGGTCTCCCAAAGTGCTGGGATTATAGGCATGAGCCACCACGCCCGGCCACAAAGCAGTTTTGAGTTTTGTCCTTCACGAGGAGTTCACGTACCAGAAGCTGGGTACTGACATGGCTCAGGCCTAGTCTGGGTTTCCACAGAACTAAGCTAAGACTCAGTAGATTCTAGGAAAAATAAAGTAAGCCAACCTTCTTACTTTACATCTGTTCGAATTCCACTGCTAGTGAAGAACAAACCCCCCGGGGTTTCAGAACCGGTGTTCGTAGCCTGCTTCTGTGCTGTTTTAATTGAATTTCGCTTTCTAGAGCAGGCATGTTTTTAATAACAAAGTAATTCTGTTTGCATTTCTGTTTCAAATGCAACATTACTCATGGAAAAACTGGGAATATTTCAGAATACTTCCTAGAGGCAGATGAAGGCCACTGTGTTAGGAAAAGTTTAAGTGTGTATGTATCTACAGCAGACCTTCCTAGGCCCAGGAAGTTAGGATTTCACCTCAACTCTAGGGCAAAGCTGAGCTGTCTGTGAGTAGAAAGTTAGTTTTGGTCTCTATGCCCAGATATTTAAAGACTTGTTCAGTGTTCACATTGCTGAGTTCAGTCTTTTTAGTTTGCATTTGGATATTTAAGACCAATTTCAAGTCTTCAGTATCAAAATCTCTTCCTGATTCTGGGTTGGGCCAAGTGACAGCTGTGTATCAGGTCCAGTGTTTGTGTTGGGCAAAAGACTGCAATTATCCAATTTGTAGCTAGACAGAGGACCTAAAATCACTTAATAAACTGAGTCATCTAATCTACTTTTTAAATCTGATTATCTGTCCTGTTTCATTTGTGGTAGGTAGAATAATTCCCCCCAACCCCACCAAGAAATCTGCATCCTAATCTCTGAACCTATGACTGGGTGGGGCAGCGTGGCAAAAGGAAATTAAGGTTACAGATGAAATTAGGTTTCCTAATCAGCTGACCTGAGATGGGGAGATTGACCTGGCTTCCCTGGGGGTCCCAGTGTAATCTCAAGGGTTCTTAAACGTGGGAGAGGGAGGTAGCAGAGCCAGTGTCAGCTGATGCATGTGAGGAAAATGGCGGGCCATGGCTGACGCCAGGATAGGCTAAGGGGCCACGAGCTGAAGAAAGTGGCGCTTCTAGAAGATGCAGAGGGAAAAGCAGGGAAACAGACTCTCCCCTAGAGCCTCTAGGTGGAGCACAGCCTCACCAACATCCTAGCTCTGGCAGACGCACGTCAGGCTTCAGCAGATAGAACTGCAAGGAAATAAGGTGTATTATTTTAAGCCACCAAGTTTGTGGTAATTTGTTACGGCAGCAATAGACAACAAGTGCACTCTTCTGTGTATTGAAGTTAAGTTGCTGCAGATTTTTTTGGTATCTTGGTTTAGTCTCAGTCATTCTGAGGTAGCGAACCATGAGTTACAGTCTCTTTGGCTAAACCATTGCTTGGAATACTGTCCATGGAAATGTTGCAGGGTGGATGGAGGTGGATAGATGCTCCTGGCAACGGCACCTCACGCTGCAGCGGGGCCATCAGTCTCTGTTTGTGGAACCCTGTGTTCCCCACATCTAAGCTCCTCTGCAAACTCCGCCTAACTGGAGGCAAGTGTCTGTAGCAGTGTCTCAGTGCTGCTATCACAGAGTAACTGAGAATGCGTAATTTATAACCATTTTATTTCTTATAGTCCTAGAGGCTAGGAAGTCCAAGATCAAGGCAGGGTGAAGGCGAAAGGGCAAGATACAAAAAGGGCCAAACGTCCTTTTATAACCATCAGTCCCACCTGGGGTACAGAGCCATCAAGTTTGTATCTTCATAAACTGAGAAAACAGAAATTGGCCTAACAGGGCCTCTAGGACATCCTTCAAGTGAGCCACAGTAGAGTCTGGTACAGTTCTGAAATCTTCTCCTACTGTTGGGTGCCCTGTGCCACACTGCAGGCGCGGCTCTTGCCCAGGTGTGTGTGTGGGTTGGGAGTTTTGTGCTGTAGGTACACAGGAGGTGCAGGATGTTGGTGCAGGTCAGCTTGTTTAGTGGTGGCAGGATCGGCTCTCAGGCTGGGGCTCTGGGAGCTGCTGCCTGGGGCAGCTGCTGCCCCGCAGTTGTCCTGGAGACCCCCCATGGCCAAAAGAGGTGACAGTGGTGCAGTGGTGACTCCCTTGTGGCAGCTGGAGTGCCTGAGGCCAGAGCCGCTCTCCCTGCTGCTTGTGCCACAGCCTCAGGGCCTGCCTGTCTCTGGCGTCCCCACTCACTCATGCACCAGGGAGAAGAGGGGAGGCCGCCAGGAGCCAGTGGCTCAGTTCATGATTCGCCAGGTGCAGGAGCCACTGTTGAGGATGCTGCTGGTTACCTGGGTAGAAGTTAAGGCCCACGAAGATGGACAAGTCTATAATTTGACAAAGAGAAGAGAAAACAGCCCATTACTCTGCAGAAAGTAACTCTTTGGCATGTGCACTGAAGGAATTAGCTGTTACAGGAGTATAGTGGAGGGTGAGACCCTCTTGAGTTGGGCAGACTGTGGTGCCCATGCACCTGTGCTGGCAAGTGTAGAGGAGCAGGGCCAAGCGCCAGGGTGGGTGGTGCCATCTGGCTGCAGTGTCGTAGGAGAGCGGCTGGAAATGCAGGTGGGAGCCAATCTCTGCAGGATTTTAAACAGGAGTACTCGGATGACCTGGGTTCCCTGCTCTGCGGGGTTACCAATACCTGCTAGAGGCTTGTTTTCAAGCCTTGAAATATGGGTGTCAGTATTCCCATTTTACAGAAGAAACTGAGTCAGACCAAGTGGTTTACCCAAGGTCACATAGCTAGTAAATGGCACAGTTAGAATTTGAACTAGCCAGTGTTTCATCTGCTATATTATGCTACATTATGCTTGTGTTCTGAAAGGACAAAACTCACATGAAACAATGAAGACACTCAACGTGGTGTTCACTATTAGGCTGAACCACATGCAGGTGCTATTTTTGTAGGTCAATGTGGTCAATTAGCAGTGTCCCATGGGTCAGCCTAATACAGCATCAGCCAGGGTTCGGACAGAGAAACCTCTCTGGGCAGGAATGGTCAGCAGAGGTTTCATGGCAGGGCTTGGAATGGAGCAGGGCCTTGAAGCCTCTGTAGTCTCTGGATGGATAGAAATGAGGTGGGAGAGGCTGGGTGTGGTGGCTCACGTCTGTAATCCCAGCACATTGAGAGGGCAAGGCAGGCAGATCACTTGAGGTCAGGAGTTCAAGACCAACCTCACCAACATGATGAAACCCGTGTCTACTAAAAATACAAAAATTTGCCAGGCATGGTTGCGCATGCCTGTAATCCCAGCTACTCAGGAGGCTGAGACACAAGAATTATTTGAACATGGGAGGTGGAGGTTGCAGTGAGCTGAGATTGTGCCAGTGCACTTCAGCCTGGGCGACAGAGCAAGGCTCTATCTCAAAAGAAAAAGAAATGAGGCTGGAGCGGTTGGGTGAGAGGTGGGGTGGTAAGGAGACAGCCCGAAGGGCAGGTGCTACGTGGCTGTCGATCGGTGTGTACATGTGACCTTGGAGCACCAGGAGGTGATTGCAGGTGACACCTGAGGACTGGAGATCCCTCCCATGCAGCAGACAGGGTGGGATTTGGCCTGCAGCTCGCTCTGCTGGTCCCCACTGTGCTGTTTCTGTAGGAAACAGGTGAGCAGATTGCCATCAAGCAGTGCCGGCAGGAACTCAGCCCCCGGAATCGAGAGCGGTGGTGCCTGGAGATCCAGATCATGAGAAGGTGAGGGCCTTGCGCACCCCAGGGGAAAGCTGGAGCAGCAGCCCCCGGTGTGTCTAGAAAGGAGAGTCTTGCTGGGCGCGGTGGCTCATGCCTGTAATCCCAGCACTTTGGGAGGCTGAGGCAGGTGGATCACGAGGTAAGGAGATTGAGACCATCCTGGCTAACACAATGAAACCCCATCTCTACTAAAAATACCAAAAATTAGCCAGGCTTGGTAGTGGGCGCCTGTAGTCTCAGCTACTTGGGTGGCTGAGGCAGGAGAATTATGTGAACCCGGGAGGCGGAGCTTGCAGTGAGCCAGGATCGCACCACTGCACTCCAGCCTGGGCGACAGAGCGAGACTCCGTCTAATTAAAAAAAAAAAAAAAATAAAAAAAAAAAAAAAAAAAAAAAAAAAAAATAGAGGAGAGTCTTAAATCTCTGCCCCTCCATCAGGGCGCCAGCCCGACAGTCTCCACGGTGACTCTGCTGCTTCTAAAGATGCCAGAGGAAGAGCAGCTAAAGTCCACACTGGGCCTTGTCGGGGACTTTTAATCAGTTTCATTATATTAAATAAGTTAACACAGTTATCACAGTGACTTTTCCTTTGTCAGCAAAAAAAAGCCTTCTTTCCTCCTGTATTTCCAGTTCCAAGGTGGCACATGACCGTTCTCTGCTGTCATGCTGCCGCTGACATTTATTCCTCTAGTGTGGAGACTGGGCCGTCCATCTGCCCGGTGGCTGCTGACCCCCTAGCTAGTGAGGTGGGCTCCGAAAGAGCCAGCGAGGAGGACACCAAGCAGGGGCTCCTCTGCCAGCCTCTTAAAAAGAGGAAGTGCCATTTGGTTACATCATGGTTCTATCTGGTTACATGAGTTCCTTCTCAGATCCCTCTCTGTGTGTCCACCTTGGGGTGATGTGTGTGGGTGAATCAACCTGCCGAAAAATAAACAGAGAAAAGAAAAAAAATACGAGAACAAAAAGAGCAGGCACCACCTTGTTTGCCTGCTTGCATGTGTGACACATCCCCCCCATGTGGAGGGCATGAGATTGGAAGGTCTTCAAAGGAGCAGTTTGGCAGCACGATGAGGACTTGGGATGTAGCACGCACAGAAAATGGAAGTTACACGGAGTATGCCCTCAGGGTCTGAGTTCTGGTGCTGCGGGTGGGGCTGGGTGCACGCCACTGACCGGGGCATTGCAGTTGGCCACCCATCCTGGGCTCTGTCTTCCTCTGTTTCGAAGCCCTGGGTTATCCTGGGCCTTTGTTGCTGAGACCTGATGGGGGTGATAGGGATGGGTCTGGGCAGGAGTCTGGCTCTGCTCTCATCAGTTTTCCTCCTTCCTAGGCTGACGCACCCCAATGTGGTGGCTGCCCGAGATGTCCCTGAGGGGATGCAGAACTTGGCGCCCAATGACTTGCCCCTGCTGGCCATGGAGTATTGCCAAGGAGGAGATCTCCGGAAGGTGAGGCTCCCGCGGCTGCCAGGCATACAGCCTGTCTGGGCAGGTGGGACACCAGGAAGGGGGATGGGAAGACCTTTCATTTCTGTCATCATCAGGAAGCTTGGGGACCCCCAGCAACTCCAGCAGGGCTGCTTTGCCTCTCAGATCCTCTGTTCCCTGCCCACCTGGGGCTGGTGTGTGTGTAAGTCAGAGGCACTTCCGAGAACACCAGGGAAGGGGGAAGGGCGTGCTGCACACTCTGCTGGGATTATTCCAATGACAAGGAAAACTCATCACAGGTTTGGGCGTGGGGAAGGACTGGGCAAGTTCCAAAACAAATGCTTCCTCCCTGGGCGTGTTAGGGCCACGTTAGGCCTTTGGTGCCAGCGCCACTGCTCTCCTTATTAGGAGGGATCTTATTCCAGAGATGGGACAGCACCACACATGGGGGCAGGGAGCATAGAAGAGAGGGAGTGGGATTCATGATCAGAGAGCTGGGCCAGGACTGCAGACCTGCCCCAACCCATCCGACCCACCCAACCCACCTGACCCACCTGGACTCATCTGTGGGGCTCTGCTCTCCGCCTTCTCACCACACCACCCCCTCTTCCCTAGAGTGTTCACTTCTGGTGGGTGGATGGCAGCCCCTTCTGGTCTCAGGGGCAGTTGGGTGCCCTCCTCCCCGTTGTTCCCTATGATAGTACCACATAGCCTGCTAGTACATGTTACCTCATTCGATTTCCAACAGCTCACACATGAGTGCACAGGTATGGTTCCCACATCACGGGTGGATATCACAGCCCAGAGAGGTTGGGCCTCACACAGCTGTAGCAACAGAGCCTGGGTCCCAGTCCACACAGACCTAGCCACAGGCCACCTCTCCATCTCTAAGACTGAATAAGGCCATATAACATGATAACTGGAAGCTCTGAACAAAATATTTTTTTTTTTGAGACAGAGTCTCGCTCTGTTGCCCAGGCTGGAGTGCAGTGGCGTGATCTCGACTCACTGCAGCCTCCGCCTCCTGGGTCCAAGCGATTCTCCTGCCTCAGCCTCCCGAGTAGCTGGGATTATAGGTGCCCGCCCCCATGCCCAGCTAACTTTTGTATTTTTGGTAGAGGCAGGGTTTCGCCATACCAGCCAGGCGGGTCTCGAACTCCTGACCTCAAATGATCACCCACCTCAGCCTCCCAAAGTGCTGGGATTACAGGTGTGAGCCACTGCGCCCAGCCAAAAAAATTTTTATTTTAATTGAAAAGGAGGTCGGTTACTCTGTGAGTGCACCTCTTTACTTTGGAAGGGTCACGATAGTGAGGGTGGGAGCCCAGGCATTTACTCCCTTTCAGTGGCTATTCCCAGACACACTTCAGGTGCTACTCTTACTGTTCCTCCAGGCCCTTGTGCCTCTTAAAAAAAAAAACAAAAGCTTTCCACTCTGGGAAGCTGAGACAGGAGGATAGCTTGAGGCCAGGAGTTTGAGACCAGCCTGGGCAACATACCAAGGCCCTATCTCCTCAAAAAATAAAAAATGAAAAATTAGCCAGGTGTGGTAGTGTGCGCTTGTAGTCCCCACTATTTTGGAGGCTGGACTGGGAGGATGGCTTGAGCCTGGGAGGTTGAGGCTACAGGGAGCTATGATTGCGCCACTGCATGCCAGCCTAGGCGACAGAGCAAGACTCAGTCTCAAGAAAAAAGATAATCCTGTCTCAGAAGAAATAGACAGATAAATAAAATAAAAGGAAACTTTCCGTGGGCTTGGCCTGCCAGAGTGGCTCTCCCTGGAGATAGGCATGTCCTGGGAGTGGCACTCACAGCAGGATATGAACACAGCCCTTGGCATGACCCACAGTGAGAGATGGGGGAACTTGACAGCACTTTGATTTTTTCCTTATTTTTCTAACCTTTGACAGTCACCCATTACTGACTGCAGCTGTGTAGAGATAAAGCCATGTTGCAGTCAAGTGGAGACTTCCCAGAGGGCAGCCTGGAAGTAGGTGGGATGTGGCCAGATTACAGAGGGCTCTGAAGTGAGGCAGAGGCTTTTAGACTTGGTCTTTTAGGTGGCAAAGAGCCAATGAGCCAGGGAAGAAGAGAAGAAAAGTTTAACATGACTGACCTGGCGTGGGTTGCAGGATGATTGAGGGGGAGGCAGGAAGGACTCGCATCCTAAGGAACCCCTATCCTTGCTGTCACCCAGTGGGGTTAGGGGAGGACACTGTTGCCCACTGTCTTGTTGTCTGTTGTTTCCTTTGTTCCCTCTAAAAAGTTCAAATCTATAATACATCCGTGGGCAAGGAGAGGCAGGCTTGGCCAGCACATGGGGACATGTAAGAATCGATGTTAAAAGTATACATGCTAGGTACGTGAACAGACTCTTGAGGGTTTATGAACATGATGTGAGTTCCTGACGGTGAGGCTCAGCTGGGAAGCTCCTCTCTCTGCCTTCTTCGGAGGCCAGCTCCCAGCAGCACACGGAGCCTCTTGACAGTCGAGGGGGCCAGGAAGGCAGGGGATTAAGGGCCTGGGCTTGAGTTTCAGATTGACCTGGCACCGCATTCCAGCACTGCCCTTTCACAGCTGTGCGAGCTGACAGGTATTCAACCGTGTAACCTCAGTTTCCTCCTCCAACATGGGGATTCCACCCCGTACTTACTCAGTGGTGGTGGTTAGTATTAAATGAGGTCACGCAGGGAAGGCTTTGCCAAGCTAATCCGTGCAGAGCTCTTCCAGCCCCTGGCACGTAGTCAGTGCTCAGTAACCATTCCCTACTGTTACCGTCACCTACGTGGCTAGGAGATGGCAGGATGGTGGTCGGAGGGTGGTTTCCAGTGATGCCCTCCCAGCCTGGCCTGTCTCTAGGACCCTCAGGCACAGATAATTCCTATTTCCTGTGCTTAGACTTCGTCCTGCCTTGCTCAGAACTGCAGCAGCCAGTGAGAATCGAACTTTCCTCGCCCCAGGGGCCCCTTGCTGTGAGGATGTGAGAGCCCTGGGGTGGTCAGGACTGCTTCGTCCTCCTCTTCTTCCTCCTCCTCCTCCGGCCAATCCCTGCTAGTCCTGCTGCCCTAGCTTCCTCAAAAGCAGGTCCCCTAAAGACTAGGGCCCAGGGTCAGCACTTCCATCACATGGGCTGGTAAGAGACACGTGTGGATTTCCGGTGGTTTGTGACCACCAGCTCTGATGCTGCTTCTCACTTTCTTGACAGTACCTGAACCAGTTTGAGAATTGCTGTGGTCTGCGGGAAGGTGCCATCCTCACCTTGCTGAGTGACATTGGTAAATCCCAGCCCCGGAAGTCAGGCCATGTCCTTCAGGGAGAGTGTGGTGCCCCATGAGTCCCTGCGGAGCACTGCAGGCAGACACTTCAATCCTTTGGTCTCTGTGGAGGGGTAATGGGAGCCCGGGGAGTGGGGACCGTGGTGGAGTAGGGAGGTCAAAAAGGAGTCAGCCAGACAGACGCTGAACTCAAATAGGTTTCCCTTCCTTCCTGATTAACTCATCAGGTGAATTATGATGTGTAGGGAATAACAGATTTCCTTTCCCATTATGAAGCTCCCCTCCCTCCTTTCCTGGAATGGCTGGCACTGGAATAGGTTGTCATTCGAATGAGTTTTGTCCCTTGGCAGTGAATTTTTCCGCTCCCACGTTGGCAGTTCTTTGCCAATGAGAGGCGTAGGAAAAACTGTCCTTGTTTAATCCCTTGGGTACTGTTGGCATCCCCAAATGAGGGCATCTGCGGCACCCTCTGAGAAGGCCAAGCTGGCCATTCATTGAGAAGAGTGACCTCAGCCTGCAGAGGCCAATGGAGCCTCCTAGACCCTGGCGCCCACTCAGTAGGGGCCTGAGGGCTGGGTGCTGAAGGTCAGCACCGGGCCCCAGCCTGGGGAGACAGACGTCACAAGGGAGAGGGACTTGCTCAGGGTTTTTTTTTTTTAAATAATCTCCAAGGTTGTTGGTGCAAGTTGATAGTTGGGGTCTAAGGTTTAGAGTTATCGATAATTTATGTTTGACTCTTTGCCCCCAGATTTGAAGAATGATGCCATTTTCATCCCTCCCCTACCTCAACCTTTCAAAGCTGTATATATTTTTTCTTTTTGTTTGCTCAAGCTTTTTTTTGAAAATTGTCAAAAATATAGAAAAGTTAAAAGAGTATTACAGCAAAACTCACATACCATTCCCCTCAGTTCACCAGATGTTAACATTCTCCCTCATTTGTAAAGCTGTGTTCTCTAAGCCAGGGCCTGGAAGGGTTGATGGTCCAACACTTTGTCTTGCTAGTGTGGATCTGGTCTCTTCCTGACTGCTGCTTTTGACAGAGGAGAAGCAAGAAGAAAAGGAAGGGGAAAAGTCAAGCAATGACATATTTAAGGTTAAGATCCAAATAGTCTGACATAGAAAATTCCCATCTTGCTCTGTGCTATGTCTTCGTCCCTTTGGGTGGATTTCACATGGAGGATAAGTTGACATTACACCAGTTTTATTTGACTCAAGTGAGCACCCAGTGCTGGCCCAAGGGACCCCCTGTGCATGGCCCGCATGAATCTTGTCTGTCTTCCTAGAGCATAATCCATCAGTTAGAAATTTCACTTGTTTTCTTGACTGCCTGACCCAAGGCTCACCCATCCATGTTTTGCTTGGAGGCTTACTCGATTGTATTTTTTACATCAGTGGCCAGATTCTTCATTTGTTCTCTGTCGAACTGGGTTGAAGGCAGGTTAGCAGGTTGGAGAATATTCTCTTGCTTTTCATGGGTGACTTTTATTTTGTTTCTCTTTGGTTAGAGCTTTGTCAAGTTATTATTATTATTTTTTTTGATGTTTTTCTCTTAGATATTTTTCTTTCACTCCTTAGGCTATTGATGACTTCAGCAAGTAGTTATTACGAAAGTCCTTTATTTTTTTTTTTGAGACGGTGGGTCACTCTGTTGCCCAGGCTGGAGTGCAGTAGGCGACCTTGGCTCACTGCAACCTCTGCCTCCCAGATCCAAGTGATTCTCCTCCGCGAGCCTCCTGAGTAGCTGGGATTACAGGTGCGTGCCACCACACCTGGCTAACTGTTGTATTTTTAGTAGAGACGGGGTTTCACCATGTTGGCCAGGATGGTCTCGAACCCTTGACCTCAAGTGATCCACCCATCTCAGCCTCCCAAAGTGCTGGGATTACAGGCATGAGCCACTATGCCTGGCCAAAAGTCTTTAAATTATTGGCACAAGTGCAGGGCGCGGTGGCTCATGCCTGCAACACTTTGGGGGGGCTGAGGCGGGTGGATCACAAGGTCAGGAGTTCAAGACCAGTCTGACCAAGATGGTGAAACCCCATCTCTACTAAAAACACAAAAATTAGCTGGGCGTGGTGACGGGCGCGTGTAATTCCAGCTACTCGGGAGGCTGAGGCAGAGAATTGCTTGAACCCAGGAGGCGGAGAGGTTGCAGTAAGCCGAGATCGAGCCATTGTACTCCAGTCTGGTGACAGAGTGAGACTCCGTCTTGGAAAAAAAATATATATATATTGGCACAAGTGCACATAACTCTCAGCTTCCTCACATGGTTGTTTATTCTGCAGGTGCTCTGGTTACGTATTCTTTTAGTCTGAGTCCAGTTTGAATTCCATTACCATTGACTTGTGTGGTAGCTTTTATATTATTGTATTCAAATTGTGTGTGTCTATGTATTTAAGTTACACATAAATTAGAATAATGAAAACAGGTGGGTTCTTAAGTGCTTGTGTGCTACAGGTCTCTTACAGATAGATAGGTAGGTGAATATTAAATTCTGTACATTGCTGATTCTCTGTCTTCTCTGTGACCCTGAGTTGGAAATAATTCGACTTTGAAGTACTAACTAGTACACTACAGTTAAACTTCTTAAGGGTACAAACTTCAGTCACTGCTGTATCTCCAGCATCTAGAATAGCAGTATATCAGCTTCTCTATAAATACTTACCAAATGAGGGCTGGGTGCGGTGGCTCATGCCTGTAATCCCAGCACTTTGGGAGGCGGAAGCGGGCTGATCGCCTGAGGTCAGGAGTTTGAGACGAGCCTGACCAACATGGAGAAACCCCGTCTCTACTAAAAATACTAAATTAGGCTGGATGCGGTGGCTCACACCTGTAATCCCAGCACTTTGGGAGGCCGAGGTGGGCGGATCATGAGGTCAGGAGTTTGAGGCCAGCCTGGCCAACATGGTGAAACCCTGTCTCTACTAAAAGTACGAAAAACAAAAACAAAAACTAAATTAGCCAGGTGTGGTGGTGCATGCCTGTAATGCCAGCCACTTGTTGGGGGCTGAGGCAGGAGAATCACTTGAACCTGGGAGGCGGGGGTTGCAGTGAGCCAAGATGGCTCCATTGCACTCCAGCCTGGGCAATAAGAGTGAAGCTCCATCTCAAAAAAAAAAAAAAAAAAAATTGTCAAATGAATGAAATAAATCCTAAAGGAAATTAAAATAAGTAAGGACCTAGTTTATTTTATTATTATTATTATTATTTAAATCAGATGTCCACACATCATGAATAGCTCCAGGTCCAATACTAGCTCCTCTGCGTATTAGCAGTGTGACTATGGGCACGTTACTTACACCCTTTTATTAGTGGTAAAATGGGAGTGTTACTTACCTTGTTAGAATTGTTGTGGAATAAAATGAGGTGATATAAATAAAGCTTCTAGCACAGTGCTCTGTTTCTGCAGAATATGCAGTCAGCAAGTGTTAGTTCCTTGCTCATTTCCTTCCTGCTCTGGATTTTGATTTTTGGCCTCCCCATTTTGGAAACCCTCAGTGCCTTCTTTAGGACATGATCTGAGGCTGGATCCAGAAAACCACATGGGTGGGTGCCTTCTGAGACTCCCATCCTGGAAGAGGCCGGCCTTCCTCAGACCCGTTCCCGTCTCCACCACATTTTGGGTGCAGTGCAGCCCTGGTTTTGTGGTTGAGGCTGCTGATGAGCTCGTATTTTACTTTTATCCCTGTTTCTGATTTGTGTACCAAATCCATTAAATTTCTTTTTGCAAGGATCTGGTGACTGAGCCAGAGTTCATCTAACATAGCTCTTTTGTATTTTGGAGCATTTCCTGAGCATATTTTGTTCCAGTTTGTTCCAAGTGCTGGCCCCACATTTCCTTTGTTGGAGTTGCCAATGCTGTTCTCTGCCAGATTGACTTAAGATAAGTGGCAGAGCCACACCCTTGACCCCTGGGTCCAGATTCATTTCCTACTCTTCTGGATTAAACTGTTGGCCCCCACTCTCTTCTGTGCCGCTAACCTCCCAGAGACACCTGCTCAGAACAGTGTCAAGATAATAGACATGGATAGGATTTTTCCACTGAATTTCAAATTGCCCAAGAAGATGCTGCAGAGTGCCTGTGAGAAATGAGCAGATGGCAGGGTGGCTCATGCCTAGAATCCCAGTACTGTGGGAGGCCGAGGCAGGTGGATAACCTGAGGTCAAGAGTTTGAGACCAGCCTGGCCAACATGGTGAAACCCCATCTCTACTAAAAATACAAAAATTAGCTGGGTGTGGTGGTGTGTGCCTGTAGTTCTAGCTACTCAGGAGACTGAGGCAGGAGAATCACTTGAACTCGGGAGGCAGAGGTTGCAGTGAGCTGGGATCGCGCCATTATACTCCAGCCTGGACAGCAAGAACGAGACTCTGTCTCCAAAAAAAAAAAAAAAAAAAGGAACTGAGCAGCTGCCTGGTGGGCACAGAGGTGAGCCCCCTGCGTCCTGGCCAGGACTCTTCCGCCAGACCATCACTCCATGCTGATAGGAGACCTGGGACCTAGGTGGAGCAGCTGGAAATGATGTGGACTGCCACATAATGTGACCCTAAAATAGCTCAAGGAAGTTATATGTGCGTGGACTCTATTTAAACAGTCTTGCTCATTATCCTTTGGAAAACACTGGCGTGTGTTTTCTTTTGGTAACAGAGGCGCCAAATTCTGAGCACTCGAGATTATGGGGCAGGCTGCAGCACTCTCTCCTGCCTGGTGGGGTGTGACTCTGCTGGGCCCGCCTGGGCCTTACCAGATCTTAGATTGGAATCAGCCTTCCTGGATTCTGCAGGTGGCCAGTCTGCTGTGGTAACACCATCCTGTGCCCCAAGCCTTCGGGAAACCACCCCTCTGTTGCTGTCCCTGCTTCCTTCTCTGAGCCCCACCTCTGTTCCTGCCGGAGCTGCTCCTAACAGGGGTCCAGGACTTCAGTGTTAAAGAGCAGAGGGTTTCAGAGAAAACACCTGGCTTTGGGGAAGACAACTCCATTCCGGGAACTGCACATCAGGT